GTTTTATATTTGGTAATGGCTGTTTTTATTGACTTGTGTTGTTTTGTCCCCACTGTGCAGCGCGTTGTAAGCACTGTTTTTGAAAGGTGCTTAACAAATAATGCCATATCCAGGGGTGCACATACTGTAAGTAGTATGCAGGTATGCATGCACGACAAATATCAGAAATGCGTACTATCCCTTGAGTTAGTAAGCGCCTTTGCATACTTCATGTAACCCGGGTCATTTTTATCGTCTCCGCTCCTCTTCATTATTTTTATGCTGTCTCTTGTAAAGAAATCTTGTGGTAGTTGTCTTACTCCGCCTTTAAGGGCGGCAGTAGCTCAGTTGGTAGAGCGTTGGCCTTTGAGCCAGAAGGTCGTGGGTTCAAGCCCCGCTCAAGACTTTCACCATCGACTCCCACTGATGTCTACTGTCGTTGTGTCCTTGGCAAGACACTTAACCTCTGGGAACACCAGCCACAGTGGGGCGGCTGTAAAGTGCCAAACTGCCGTTGTGTCCTTAGGCAAGACACTTCACCCCCATTGCCTAGAATGAGTCTGGTGTGTGTGTGAATGGTTGGTGGTGGTCAGAGGGGCCGATGGCACATACTGGTTGCCTCGCTTCTGTCAGTGTGCCCCAGAGCAGCTGCCCCAGAGCAGCTGTGGCTACATTAGTAGTTTATCACCACCGTGTATGGAGTGAATGAATAATGACACATGTGAAGCGTCTTTGAGTCTCCAAAAAAGCGCTATATAAAACCGATGCATTATTATTATTATTAAGAGTTTTTTGCATTTTTTAAGAGCCCTGTGAGTCATTATTTGACTTGGATTGAGTTGATTATCTGAGCTGATCTAAACTTTAGCATTAAAAAGAAGCAAGTATAAAATCTTGATTAAGAAAAACGCGACAAATGGAGTCCCGACAAGTTATGTGCACCCCTGGGCATATCATTATTACTATAAGTACCCAGAAAGATAAATTTTATTTATCCCCGTAGAGCAACACATCCTCTGCATTTGACCCATCCTGATGCCCCCAGGACGTCGCCGGAGCCACATGTTGATGCTCGGCTTAGTCAGGACTACCAGGGCTGGAGGATTATACCTGTTGTACATGTTTTTGGTGGTAGGGGAAACTGGAGCAAACCTATGCAGACGCGAGGAGAACATGCAAACTCCACTCAGAAAGACCCTGTTCCGACCGGGATTCGAACTAAGGACTTGTTGGCTGAGATTCTGTTTCCATTTGTGTGTTTTTTATGTGTTATTGTTCTGTCCAAGTGTATAATGTGAGATTGTGTCTGTACTTTTCCATTATTAGTTTATTTTCACAGTGTTTTCATTAGTCTCTTTCTTACAGTATTTAGAAAGTGAGGAGCAGATGCAGCAGCGGCGGTTCCTGCTGACACCGTGAAGACATCCTTTTCTGTGTGAATGATTTGAAAAGAATAGCTTTGAAAATCCTCTGATCTGGTTTTTTCTTTCAATTTAATTGGTCATATTTTATTTCTTCTTTCTTTTTATGAATTAGACTAGATTCCACTTTATTGTCATTACAAAGTCAGAACAATGCAACGAAATGCAGATCAGCAGTAGTGCAATAGCTCAAGTATAGGATAATATTAACAACACAGATAAACATAAATGTGAGACTGTACAAAGCTGCTAGTGCTATAACGTACATTAATTACATGCGTGACCAAAACAAAACTGTCGTGACTCTTGGCTCTAGAAAATATTCATGAAGACAATTCATTTGGATCAATTTTAAAACACACTTTTTTTAGTTAGTTACCGTTAACCAATGAACTGTTACAGCATTTTTTTTGCAGTGATCTGAAACAGTCCGTTTCGAAACAAGATTTCAAAACGGACTGAGGACTCGTTAAATGAGATTATGACTGTTTGAACAGAGCTGTGTCAGTGTCACGTCTGAACTCAGCAGGAGGGGTCCAAACACAAGTGAATGTTGTGTGTTTGTATGTTGTTTATTTATGCTTTTGTCTGGTTTTTTTTGTTTTTTTTCTATGGTCCTTACACAATATAAAACAATAGAATTTATTCTTGTAAATCACAAAAGAAGTCATCTCAGAGGACTTAACAAAATCATTGAAATCACCAACACAGATCAGAGAATCAACAGTTAAAACAGAAAAAGAATATAGAAAACACGTTCATACATGTTGTAGAATGTTAAAGTGTCCTGGATCATCACCACGGTCCTTCTAGTTGGACACTAACTGCCCAACAGACCCTCCTGCATCGACAAGGAAAAAGTCTTTAAAAAAACCCAGTGGGAAAAAGTGAGAAACCTCAGGGAGACCCATATTGAGAAAGGGATCCGCTCCCACGGACGGACAGGCTATAGATCCAGGACTTCAGCTACAGAACGTGGACCAGTGGACGCTGAACGTGGACAGGTCCGGTGCAGGACTGAAGAACTCCCAGGTGGGTCGGGTAGGGCAGTCCGCAAGTGTAGATGGAGGAGGCCAGGTTCAGAGGTACGGGACCGTCATGCCATGAAACAGACAATGGGACAACGGGTGAATAGCAATGAACAGACTACAGTCCAAATCCTAATAATGACAGATAAAGTAGGAAGGAGGAGAGGATAGTGCTCAAGTTACCGTTCTTCTCTCAGCAGACTGACTCCCTATGCAGCTTGACTGACAGTCTAAGGAGTTTAGCCTTTAGCCTATACTCTTTGATTCAGAACTTGTATGTGTCTGAATCAAAGAGTAAAGTAATGTATCCTTTTCAAGCATGAATCCAGCTCTTGCGCATTCAGTGAAAACATGATGCAAGGCAAGGTTATTTGTATAGCACAGTTCATACAAAGTACATACAAAGTAAGAACTTTACAAGATAGAAACACTCACACAAGACATTGAATTAATAAATAATCACAGTATAAGATATCTTCCTTTTTGACATTTGTTATGTATATGTTGTAAAAGTCTGTTTGAGTCTCCATGGTGATCAAACATAGAGTCAAACATAGATCATGACACATATTATTGGTCAACTTGTGTTAAGGGCTAGTGATTTTTTACTTCCTTCCTTAATATGCTAAAGTGCTAAAGAGATTTTGTACTTGCTACTTTATCATGCTAAAATGTTATATTATTTAATGTTAGAAAATAATTATTGTTCATGTATTTTGTGCTGTGTGCTCTTCATTCCTACTGTTCTGTAACCAGTGATACAACACAGAAATTTCCCGAATAAAGGATCTCTTAATCTTAATTTACAAAAAAGGAATTGCCCTTGTTTGACCTGATGAACAGTCTTGATCTTATGCCGTTAAAAGTTCCAAACTAAAGAAATCACGGAAGCAAAAGTTGTATTAGTAGCACTCTCTCTGTTTTAGTGGTGGGGGGTGCATGCTCTGGCTCAAGTGTCTTGAACGACAGGACAGCCCTCTCCTGAGTGTTCTGCGGCACAATGGCCTGTGCGCCGGGCTCTTATGGCTCCGTGCGGGTGGAATGTGTGGAAGTCACAAAGAATCCTTAGGTTCTGGCTTTCAGCAAACACGCCACAAGATTAACTGTGTCAACACTCATGGAATCTCTCTGTCTCTGCTGCTGACTACACCAGTGTCTCCCAAAGTGGGGTCCGCGGCCCCCTGGTGGGCCGCGAGGGTACTGCAGGGGGGCCGCGGGAGGTCATAAAAAAAATAAAAAAAATAATATAATTATTTAATGTTACATTTATAATGTTTTGTTTGTAATATTAAAATATTTGTGTTCATTATTTGACTTGAATAATCCACTGTAATAATTTGTGTATGTAGCAGAGGCTATTTCCCCAAAATAAAATAACCAGAAGAGCCTATTCTTAATGTTGTCTTCTTGGTTATTATTTTGGGGGGCCACGCAGACCCGTCAGATTTTTAAGGGGGCCTCGGTGTTACTGAGTTTGGGAATGGCTGGACTACACAGTCCAGTCCTCCCAGGGACAACCAGGCAGCAGCAACCACCTGGTAATAATAATAATAATAGGCCTAAAACACTCCTTTATTTAAAGAAAAGGAACAATAAAGATGAGACCAACAGTCATGCAGACTTTACAAACAAGAAATGCCCATTATACTTTTGAGACATCAATCAAATGACATAAAACCTTTGCAATTTGGTGGTATAGACACTAAGTGAAATTAAATGGTTAAAACATGGGATTAACAGCGGGTAAAAGAAAAAACAAGGTCAGTAATGATATTATGTCAATTGATATTTATGAATTATGTCTATATTTTTCTATTTTCCAGGTTTTGGAGCTTGATATTCTTTCTAATGTATCCAGCTCTGCTCATTTCAGCTACAGCACAGGGAACAGTGATGTCCAATGGCACAAATGTCAAAATGATCAAGTAAAAAAGACAAGATTAGATTTGAAAAAAAGATTCCCAATGCATTCTTTTGTATAATAATAACAATGATAATAATAATACATGCTAATACGTAATATTTATACATCTAATATACATCTAATCTAATACATATTTACAGCATCGCGCAAATTCCCCGAGGAGAACCAGTCAAAGAGCATATCTCATCAGTGAGGAAGAGGGGGAGAAGGGGGAGAGGGGGGGGGGCTGCCGCCAGTGAGCAAAAAGGTGCCGCGGGACAATTACAGACAAGTGTTCCCGACTTCAGCCCGTACTTAACCCAGCTCTTTCACATATTTCACCGCTCCAACACGCGTTCTATATCCCCACAGCGCGCAGAAACGGCTGCATTGACCCACGCAGGAGATATTGGAGCAGTTTGAGAACTTTCCACAGGAGTTATTTTACGCACTGGTCATCAATAGTCACGCTGTTGATCCAGTTACGCGCGGTGGAGGAGCCTTTACGCACGGGACTGCACTGTAGTTTGTTGGATCGTTTGGGGTTTTTATCACGACGCATCATCTCTGGACATGTTTGGCAGCAGCAGCAGTAGAAGAGGAGTGTGAAGTCTGCTGAGGGCACTGATCACACCGCGTCTTGGTCCATTGTGAGGGAGAGTGCGCGACATGACCGTGTGTTTGTGGATGGGGGCTCATGCGCTGGCGCTGTTTCTGCTCCTCACACCTGCGCAGGTAAGCTCCCGTCAGCAGGACACACACAGTTATGCTTGAAAATGTACACACCCAGCCTTAGATTTCATTGTTTTGTCCATATTTTGGAGATTATGATAAGGTCTTTTCTCAACGCTCATCGATAGTGGTTGTGTGAAGCGAGATCTTAAATGTGAAGTTCACGCAAGGCAGCCCGGGAATTTACAGGAATTGGATGCTTTTTGCTGAGAATAATGGGCAGCTTTACCATATGAGAGGATAAAGGGACTCACCCACAGAAGCTCTCATAGTTGTTAAATGGCAACTTCTAATCAGGATCAGAAGAGGAGTTTCTATCAATGTCAATATGATTTTGAACGAATAAAAAAAACATGTTTATTTGATGATAAATGACGTCACATAATAATGAGTGAGAAAAAAGGTATTGTGTTATCAAACTAACCTCTGCAATGCAAGCGCAGCAGTATGAGGGCTGTCAAAGAGAATATGAGAAGCCAGTATTTCTGTAAAACTGTATTGGGTGGAATTTGAAACATGGAGAGACAAACGTTTACACTATAAAAGTTGCTATATGAAGAGTTAGTTATAATTAGGACCATTTATATTATTTATTTAGGTCTGATCTGTGTGTACTTGTAATCTTTTTAGCTAAGCACAAGTTCCTATTGTCTTTACAAACTTGCAAATCATCAAAATGCACATTTTCTGACAGCTTTTCATAACTACAGGATCTGAAGGCTTCCCAAATGTCAATGAAAAGTAACATAGTTTCTCGTGTGTATTTTTACCGTTACTGCTTGTACTGATCCTATGTTTAGCTCTAGCTGTATCTTTACTCTTGAAACCTCCACTTTCTACACTTTGAATTATTCTTAAGCAGACTTGGATCCCTCCTTTCCTCCAGATATTTAAAGAAATCTCAGTTAAAAAGTGCGGCCTGTAAAGTGGTGGGAGAAAATGATAAAAAATGGCCATTCAAGACACCCCAGTGTGTTCGATACGATTACACAAATGTATGAGAAAAAAGATTTCTGAGTGAGATTTGAGCTTTGGGCTTTCTCCACATGAAACGTGCGCTCCCGGTGATGCTGCTGCTGCTGCTGCTGCTGGTGCTGACTCACGGTTACTTTTGGCTAACCTCACTAAAGCCCATAATTACACATGCATTCATTGCACAGTCACTCGGATCAGCTTTCTCCCTCTGCGTTTCCATTGAAGAGGCAAAGATTCACTTAAAAATAACCATTCCTCAAGTGAGACGAGAATGATTGGCTGTAATCTAACCTGACAGTCACTTCTCACACTTGGTCATGGGCACAACTCGAGAAGCCAAGTGTGGTTTGATTTCTTCTTCTTAATGTGGATGGTGGAAAAGCTTGCTTCAAATATGGAACAGTAGTTTTTGTTCAGAATCAAACTAAAATTACTTTTTTCCTGTTAATGTTGGACTCTGAAGCTTTCATCGAGGAGGTTCTGTCACCTGTGCGTGGTCTCTATGGGAAGAAGTGAAGCTATTTATTTATGTATCACATTTTATTCAGTAACTCTGACTCATTACAGTGCGAGTCCCTTGGGTCCTGAGTGCACTGCGTCATTAAAAGACTTATTCTCGGAAGTCGAAGTTGATTTTGACTCATTTTGACACGTTCCTGTCTTCACTGTGGTGAGAAGCCGGTACGACACGGTTCCAAACTACACGCAGACCTTTCCCTCTGTTGTTCCGAGTGTCACAGCACTTCAACTTTGTATGTACTATTGATATTGTGTGGCATTAAACTTGGATAAATCACCTGGTGGTGTTATCAAATGAAATGCTAAGGGCAGTCGTCGACCAAAGACGTTCTTGGTTGAATATTTGATATATGAAATTATTTAGAATAAATATTAAAGTTTTCACATTATTCAAATAGAAAAAATAGTCCAATAATGTATCATTCGTACAACAGAAGATCCTTTCTGGACACACACAGAGGGAGAAGGCCGAACATTTGTCCCTATACCTCAGGTCTCAGATGTTGGTCGTTGGCTTTAATATGATATTAGACCATTTCTTTAAGTTTCTTCTGGTGCTCTGTGCGACAGGACCAGGCACAGCTCTGTCTGCGGCCGCCTTCTGACACGGGTTTTAGTTTCCTCGGCTGATATCTCCATGTTTTGAATTGTGCCTATTTGTTCCTTCCTTTGCCAGGAATTGGAACTAAACAAAAAACGTTTATAAGGCATATTTTATTATGCATTACTTTGGCTAATGAAAATATATTGAGACTGTTTACTTTGTCATTTCATGTTTAAGAAAGTGAAATCTTGAGTAGAAAACATTGTGGTGAAACATGTATCAAAGGTAAAAGTATTTGGTTCTTCTATAAAGCAGACAATGTTTAGCGATGTCATTACCTTGACATGTTTCAATATGTTATACTTCTCTCTCATATTGTCTGCTATAGAGGAACCAATTTTGTTTTTTCTACTAAGAAGACAAGATGAAGTATCAAAGGTGAAAATGCCATTGTCCTGCCCTAGCCCTATGCTGCCACCAGAGGGAGGAGTAGAATTAGTTGTTTTTGTTTTTTTCAAAATGTGAAAATTACCAGCTGCAACCACCATCACCGAATTACAAATTACGCCATTTCACTTCCGCAATGACCACAACTACGTTTATAGTTTGTTTTTAACTCTGTGATGTCATAAAGGGTTGGACGGAGACGGTTACATGTTTGTGCCAGAAGCTCCTGATATTACCATTGATGGATCTAAAAAAGTTAATCTAAAAGCCAGGAAATCCCAAAGGCAACTTGCCATATGACGAGTCACGAGGATACAGTTCAGTGGAAGAAAAAAGAACGATGTAGATGAATTCCAGAGATAAACTATTTGGAACCAGATAAAAACATAAATGAAAAAGTGAGTCATGGCTGCTCCACAAATACAGAGTCAAGGTTTGTTTTGGGCCACGGCCAATAATCAAACTGCCTTTCTAATCTACGTCCATTATCAACTGTAAACGCTATTATAGCTGCAGTTGTGCTTGAACGTTTACACACACACACACGCACACACACGCACGCACACACACACACACACACACACACACACACACACACACACACACACACACACACACACACACACACACACACACACACACACACGCACACGCACACGCACACACACACAGCAGACTACAATGGCCATGTTTCAGAGATTACCAATGATAACGCAAATACCTTTTCACTCATTGTTTGTGGTTGTGTGTTTTGTGATAGTTGTGGATGATGGTAAAGCTGCCGGTTCTTCTTGGTAAAAGTGAATGTAAATTCCTGGGCTGCCTTGCATGAACTGCATGATTGACATTTTCCCAGAGCGGCTAATTGATTATTCACATGATATAGCTTGACACCACCACTGAAATCATTCGAGGCATTGGCAAGGCAAGTTTTTTTGTATAGCACCGTTCATACGAAAGGCAACTCAAAGATAAGAATCCCCAGGTCTGCTTTAGACACTACATTTTTGATCCTGGCAATGTTTTTTTAGATAGTAAAAAGTCAACCATTTATTTAAGACGGGATTTCAGTCAAGTTTCAGGCCCTGTCCACACGAAGTCAAGCTCAGGCCTAAACGCAAAAATACTTTATCAATCCAGTGTATCGTCCATACGAGGCCGGCGTTTTGGGGGGGTGTAAACGAACATTTTTGAAACTAGGTCCCAGAGTGGAAAGATTTCAAAACTCCGTATATGCCGCTCCGTGGTTACTGCCTCTCCGCAATGTATCTGAGACGCTTGCGTCATCGCCCCGCCTCTTGTTAAAGAACGCATGCGCCGCACTCAGAAAATAATGACAACAACAATGTAGCTTGTTGGTTTTGTAATCCAGTGTGACCCGAAGCAACAGTTCAACCTCATCGTCCGTCCATACTAATGTAGTACCAGCTCGCCCACTCGCCATGTTGTCTGTTTACAAAATTCTGCGCATGCCCACGGAAGTTTGGGCGTATTCAGGCGTATTGACTACATTCATATGGACGCACACATTTACTGAGCTAACTCCGTGTTTACAGAAAAAGTTTCTGAAATTATAAGCGTTTTGTCTTCGTGTGGATATAGCCTCAGTCCAATGGAGAATGTTTGTGCGGCTAAAGCTATTTGAGGAATAGCGTGGATGTGGCTGTTAAAATGTACGCCTGAGTCCAGTATTACCTTCAGATTTCTGATTTTAAAGTTTTAGGAAGAGAGACTGGAGGTGACTTTGTCCATGATCTCTTTGGCCAAAACTATAATCTCTTGCTCTGTGTGTAAACTTATAAACTATAATCTCTTTCGTTTTTCACTTCTTGTTGAAAGCTGCCAGTGCGATGCAAGGCTAGAGTTTATGACAGGGCTTTTATACATGCACCCGCCCCACATCAAAACTGTGACTAAGCCCAAAAAACTAAATCTGGACCAGAGCGAGACAAAAGCAGCAGGACCAAACCCCGTCTCCATCAGCACTCAGGGGAAAAAAGAATATCATCCCAACCATTTATTTAAGACGGGATTTCAGTCAAGTTTCAGTCCAATGGAGAATGTTTGTGTGGCTAAAGCTATTTGAGGAATAGCGTGGATAAAACAGTTTCGCTTTAAATGTGGTGGAAATGTTGAATTTTTGTATCACCACATTATTTTTTGATTTATTGACAAATGCTAACACAAAGAAACTACTCTTCTGACCCTGATTTAATGTTTAGGGGTTTTATTCCCCTTAAACACCCATGGCAGTTTGTAGATTTGTGTGGTGCTTCTGGTAGTTGTCTTTATCCGCTATAATGATCAAGTAAGTAAGACATATTTAATTATATAGCACCTTTCACAGACAATCACAAAGCGCTATACAATTGCTGAGGGCATTTTTCCTCTCACTTCACACAAAGACGGGAGTGGGGAGACCTGCATGTTTTTAGGGATTGGGGAAACCCAGAGGAAACTGGAGCACCTGGAGGAAACCGGGGCACCTGAAGGAAACCGGAGCACCTGGAGGAAACCT